TTTCTTAATATTTCTGTACATTTTCTACAAATGTTATGTTTTTACTTTGAGTATGATTGCTAGATTCCTTGTTTTATTGCTCTTAATATTGCAATATATTTGTTATCTCACTGGGAGCCATAGTGATGTAGTGGATTACATGTTGAGCTGCTAACCATAACGTTAGCTGTTCGAAACCACCAGCCATTCTGTGGGGGAAAGATGAGACTGTCTACTCCCATAAAGATTTGCAGACTTGGAAACCCACAGGGTTAATTCAACTCTGTCCTGTAGGGTCTCTATGAGTCAGAATTGACTGGACGTGATGAGTTTTTGTTTTGGTATCTAACTTGTCCTCTGACTGTTTTCCTACTCAAAAACATCTTTTGGGGAGAGCATATCAACGATTGTAATTACAACTAATATAAAGAACACTGTAATTTCTATGCCCAGAGACAGGGAAAAAAATAAACTGGAGCAAGGGGAACTTACTACATTTGGATGCATTTGGTAATTTTTACAATAACTTGGGTGGGGTCTCGTGTGATTTTTTAAATGTAACTTTAAATTTCCTACATCTCGTGTGTAAAAATGTAAGAATGTGTGCTTTGGGGAGTGATGCCCATTTAAACCTTCTATAAAATTTGAGAGAAGACAATTTTCTTTGTGCTACAGTTTGTGCCTAATTCTTACTTGACTTCTGGGCTAATTTCAAGGTCATCTGCCGGAAGCCTAAGACATTCCTTGAACTTCCGCAGGTCTAGTTCCAGTTTGCCTCCTGGGAAGCATATACACAATTACTTCCTACTGGTCTCAACAGGTGTTGAATCAGACCCATTTAACTCTACCTAATTTATCTTCCGCAAGGAGTATGAATATGCCTGACATGTATACACTAGAATTAAGGAAGGGCAGGGCTTTAATCTGCAAGCAAAAAATTCATAAGCATACTCAAATGAAGTGGAGCTTGTTTCTCATCAACTAATAATTCAAAGGAGCAAAGTGTCTATAAAAACCCTTATTTATCCCTCCCTCTCAGCCCTCACCCACAACTGGAGAATTCCGAAGAGCCAGCACCAGCTTAATGACTGAGGCGCTCCGGAGCATTTCCTAACAGTGCAGTGGGGAAGCCCTTGCCTGCTAACCAGGAGAAAGGTTATGCAGTCTGCTTCCATCGAGATTAGCTCTATGGAGCAGTCTACTCTGTCCTACGGGATCATCACGAGGCAGAGTTTACTGTGTAGCAGAGTTTTAAAACTCAAAATGGTGGACCTTTCTCTCTCAGGGTGGTGGGAACAGATGCCTTTCTTGGTGAGGCAGTATGGGGACTGTGGTGGTACAGGTGGCTTTGGCACGAGTCTGTTTCTAGTGAGGCGTCTTCCATCGGGATGGAAATGAGTGGGGTTTACTTTGTGAGAGGGGACATTCACAACTTTGCCCCCAGTAGAGAATCCATTAGTTTGTCTAAATTGTTCTCCCCCAGAGATCCTGCTTTCCCAGGTTAATACTTTACACGAGGAACAAGTGCACTCAATATTCAAGTCTTCCACTGGGGTCCAGTTTCTGCCGACTCTTCTGTAGATGAGCTATGTTTTATGGCTTCATGGGCTTGACTGGCTGTTGGATAAGGCTTTTCATCAACGCCTGCACTTCCCTGAGATAGCAGGACAACACTCTTAACATTTCAAAAGACAATTGCAAGCAGCAAAAGCATCAGATCTGTACTGCTAGGTACCAGTAACTCTTCTTTGTGAGTTATATTTTAAATGACAAACCTCAATTCCGTTATAGGGAATAGTAGGATAAAACGGCTTTTAATATGATAATTAACTTAATTGTTACCCTAATACATAAAATCCATCACTCCCTATGACTAGTTTGAAAATACAAAAGGCTTCTTGCTCTTAATTATTCTAAATGGAGTTATTTTTGGCAGACACATTGTAATATTTAGTTTCTATCAGACCATACAGCAAGTCACATGCTTAATTGCTAAGGGACGCATTTTTTAGTTAAAAGAATATTTATCATGACACCAGGTGGATCAGTCACATGAATTATGACAGCATCAGTGTTTGGTGTTGACTGGAAAAATCTGCTGGAAAATTCTTTTTGAAGTTAAGAGCATTTTAGCCATGTTCTTTGGCATCATCCTTTGCAGGTAGACTTGATAGGTCATTCATTCTTTCATTAGTAGAGACTGAAAATAGTTTTTTCCATAGATAACTTCTTTTCTTGTCTAGAGGGGTGCCTTTGAAGGAGGTGATGCCTTTCCACTGAGCTAGGTTTGGGGCTGGGTTCCTCATTTTTTCTACTTTTCATCAGTTTAGTTGTCCTTTAATGCGAACACCTCCCCCGTGCATTACGGAAGGGCTGCAATCTAGGCCCTTACCAGGAAATGGAGGGTCTGTGAACATTTTATTGAAATGTTTATAAAAAAGGATCTGAGGAACACGTGATCCATTCTTTCCTCTGAAGTTTAGGACTGACCTTTGGATCAAACCTATCCCTCTTATAATGAACACAATACCCCCAAGAATTAACCTTGTACTTCTCCCCATCTTGGCCATCTCCCCTGGACCCAGTCCAGCCCCATCTCTCACCTAGACTGCTCTCTCCTTTGTAACAAGTGCTGGTAGACTATGTTGATAGCCTGTTTTTGTATAGCTTGCAAGCTAAGAATAGATTTTCTAATTTAAAGGGTAGTTAAAAAAAATCCACAATGAAATAGTGGATTTGAAATAGTAGAATGAAATAGTGGAAATGAAATAGAGAGTAGGTTAACTCCAAAAATCTAAAATATTATCTGCCATTTGTAGAAAATGTCTGCAGTCTCTGTCCTATAGGATCCATTCTGGTAGTAAGTTTTTATAATATTGTTTTTCTGCTATTGGCCTGCTTCCACAGCTCTCTCTTGCACTGAGAGAGTTAAACCAAAACACTAGCCTGGCCTAAAAGTGTTTAATGAGCTGGCTTTTGCTTAGCTCTTCAAGTTGACCTCCTATCTTCTACCTTCTTGTCCACTACTCATGATCCACACAGCTTGCTTTCCCGGATTCTCAAGCCCACGTCCTATGTACTCCTTGTTTCTTTGCTTTACCTGGGACATATAACACGTCCTGTGGCTTGCTTTTTCTCAACAGTACAGGGTTGCTACATGGATAAAGGGCTAAGCACAGGG